CTCAGTATATTTTGCTGTGGCAATAAGCAAGTAGGCAGATAAAGGTATTTTAAAGTATTTTCTGTTGTTCGAGTCAAGCTAAACCTTGATAGCGTCTGCCTAACCACTGTTGGGACTAATGAATAGCAATGGAGCCTGGCATTACAAAGTGCACGAAATCATCAAAGGTAATAAAATTGAGATCAGACCAAAGCAGCATCTGGGAGTGAAGTTTTAAGTAGCAGAGAGGAATGTGTACTAATTATTGCACTGTTAATATGTCGCATGTGTTGGTTGAGTAGAGATGGTGTGACTAAGGGCAGGCAGTAGCACAGCCAGTAGCCCTGGATTTTATCCATCACAGATTCTGTATTAAATCTCCAGCTGCTTTATAACTTTCCTAATACGACATATTCCCATGCAAAACCTGTCTGTCCAGCTGAGCACACCACTTCTTTCAGATGTCACCAAATTTATGTAACAGCCTAGGACCATTTGGCTTCCTGCTAAACTGGATTGAAAGCTTAGAAGAGACAGCTGGACAATGTTTCACTGCTACTAAAATATTTGCATTGTATACATCAGACACTCAAGTTCATCCATGTGCTTTGATGGTTTCTTTCCTATATATACAGGAGGAACATTTAGCTGAGATGATACTGTAACACTGACTTCAAACACAGCATTCCAAGGTGTCATTTATCCTTAGAGGAGGCTGTTCTTCAGTCTGTTCTTCATTTTTATAGATCAGGAGACTTTGGAGAAAGTATTGTTTTCTTTTCCGTACAAGGTGCGCCAAAGAAATACAGAGCAAGCACAATTCACCAGCCAAAGAACCTCTTCATCCTGAATTTTGCATGTTTTTTTAATTTGAAATATTAAAGCTGTGAAATTAAATGTAATACTAATCAACCTGTTGAACAGAATAACATTTACAATTTGTACTTCAGATTTTCAAAGCTATAGCAACATAAACTAATGTTCTGGAAGCACAGGAAGCAATAAAAGTCCTGTAGTGCTTTGAATCTGATGTAGTGGGATAACATAATCAGTTTACATGTCTGCATGAGAAATAGTCTTGAATATTAGCTGGAGTAATAGTGTGGTAACTGGAGCCATAATTTTTCCCTATGAAGTGTTCCATATTTCAGGCTTTTGCCATCAATATCTGTTTAAAATGTAGAAAATTCACTTGGTAGCATAATTGCTGTTTGCACCATTCCCAGTTTATGGCCTATTCTGCTTCCAGACTTCCTTGGGCTGTCTGATATCAATGAAAAATCATAGGAATATGACAGATGTAAAGGGAATTTGCCTTTTACACCTAGTAGCCCTGTGAAGCTCTCACAGAAAGTTTTCATTTCTCATGTCATTCTGAAGGTTGTCTTCATGTTAGGGAAACATTATAATTGTTTATAAGTAATATGAAATGGAATTTGTTTATTGAGAGCAATTGTAGGATGTGGTGTCAGATACTTCATGAATAGTCTGCTAATGCAGATGTCAATCCGTGATGAAAACATTTGGTTAGAGTTAGTGAAAAGTAGTTAGTGAAAAGTAGAGAAGCATTGAAAAACCTGAGAGTCACCATCTCTTTGACCTGAGAATGGAATTGTGTTTATGATTTGATCAATAGTATTCATCAGGAACAGTCACATTTTGCTGTGACTACTGTCACAGGGCCATCGAGAAAGAAGGCAGCGGGGCACCAGCCACCAGGTAGATTATGGTGCTCTGGATTTGCCCTGTGATATTCAGGTTTTTCTCACCCCAGTCGTAAACTATCCAATGACCAGATGCTTCGCGCTAAAGAATTTACATTTGAAAAGGGAAAAGGGAAGTGTGCTGTATCTCCTGTAGGCTTTGTTCATTCTCCTGTACATTATTTTTGTCAGGAATCTGACAAATCAGGAACTTGATTAGTTTTTTCCTATTCTAGTTTCACTCTCAAACTCCACTGCTGAGAATGTCTGATTTTTTTTTTTTTCCCCCCAATTCTGTAGATTTTGAAAACTATCTCACCACTATCTTTTTTGCTCTGTAGCATATTTTATTTTGGACTCAAATACCCACTTCTCTGGTAGCAGTGGCCTGGTCAGCCTCCTTGGTGCAGAATGGGAACACTTTTGAAATCTTAAAATGTTTCCTGGGCTAGAGGGATGGTTTCCCACCCAGCTCTCAGTAGCAGTCATATATTTATCCATGGAATCCCCATATGACTTTGTGGGTGGTAATGTGTAGAGGGCAGCTTCCCCACCACAGCAGATTTCCTCAATACAGATTTATTTCTCTTTTGCTCTGCCGTTTACAATCTTAATCACTGTTAAACTTAGGCCTGGTGTTTGTAGGCCGATATTAACTGTATGAAGAAATAGCCTATATTGAACCTTATAGCTCCTTGGATACCCATTTGTTACTTTTGTCTTTAAAATTGGATAATTATTTTTAAAGTTTCCTCATCCTGACTAGAGGCAGAATAGAAGTACAAAATCCTGGCACCCAGACTTTCATTACAAACTCTGGCCTGAAGGCAAATCGGTGACTCTCCAAGGGTTGAAAACCTCAGCCATGCAGAAAGCAAAGAACCAACAAAAGCGGAGTCCTCTGGCTGACTTCTATAGATGAGAGCACTGCAGTGCTCTGTGTACATAGCAGGGGGCAGACAGCAATCAACTTTTGGCATTTTTTTGTGCTCTGAGGTCAGCAGTCCTTTGAAATTCATGGCACAACAGTATGAGGGCAGCAGGGTCATCCTGAAATTGATAAATACCAGTTTGAAAGTGTCTTCCATTGGATAAAGACTGTCCAGAACCGGACTGAGTGTCACATATCCTGCCCTGTTAGCTTGTGAGCTGAATCCAGGAATTTCACATGTGTACTTGTCTTTTGTTATTGATATGCTCCAAGGGGCTGAGAAAAGACTGTTGATTCCAGTCCAGTAGATAAAGATCTGAACTAAATTAGAAGATGCCTTTTTGGCAAATGTAGCTTATTCTCTTCCTTTGAGGGAATATTATTATATTGTGGGGGGAAAGGGAAATAGTAAGGCATGGTTCATATATCCTGCCCTCACTTGAGACCTAGGGTGCAAGAGGCATTTAATGCACACTGTGGGCTTCCATTGCAGCCTTGTCCAAAGGCAGCTGGAGACAGCATGCAGCTACCCCTCCTTCTTTTATAAGGTTCATGGAGTACCGCTATTCCACTCTCATCAAACTCATAGGGCTTAAGAAGACTGTAGGCATCAGTATGTTAAGAGCTTTCCTTCATTTCATGGAGCTCACTGGACATCTCCTACCTACAGGACAAGTCTATTTTTAAAACAGTAGTTTTTAACAATATTATAGGATGATGTATGGGGTGGCAGAGAATGAATTAAAAGCAGCTCTGAGGAAAAGGACTTGGGGATATTGATTGATGAGAAGCTCAGTATGACCTGACAATATGTGCTTGCAACCCAGAAAACCAACCATATGCTGGGCTACACCAAAAGAAGTGTGACCATCAGGTTGAGGGAGGTGATCCTCCCCCTCTGCTCCACTTTTGTGAGATCTCACCTGCAGTTCTTCATCCAGCTGTGGGTCCCCAAGATAAGAAGGATGTTGGAGCTGTTGGAGCAAGCCCAAAGACTATCATAGGGCTGGAGCACCTCTTCTGCGAAGACAGGCTCAGAGAGTTGTGGTTGTTGAGCCTGCAGAAAGAAGGCTTCAGGGAGAATTTGTAGCCTTCCAGTACCCTAAAGGGGTGTACAAGAACTCTGGAGAGGGACTTTTTACAGGGGCATGTAGGGACAGGACAAGGGGAATAACTTTAAATTGAAAGAAGGTACATTTAGGCTAGATGTAAGGAAGAAATTCTTTACTGTGGGACAGCAGTGAAGAACTGGAAAATGTTGACCAGAGAAGTTGTCGATGCCTATCCCTGGAAATGTTCAAGACCAGGTTGGACAGGGCCTTGAGCAACCTGATGTAGTGGAAGGTGTCTCTACCTATGCCAGGGAGGTTTGAACTCAATGATCTTTAAGTTCCCTTCCTTTTTTTTTTTTTCCTTTTTTTTTTCCCAGAAAAAAAACCTCTTGAGTTGTTTTTCAAGGGACATAAGGTCTTAAAGGCAGGTTTTAGCAAAAAAACTGGTACCCGGAGATTTCTGTCCCACATAGTTGGCCACATCTGTCCATTACATATTCTTTACTGCGAGGCATCAATTGAAGAAATGGAATGCTTTGCCACTGGCTGTTATCAGGCAAAAAAATTCAGCAGTGTAGGGATCTACTGCTGGTTTGGAAGAAGGAAGACTGCTCTTAGTGATCTGACTGCTTTGAGATCCTTCTGCTCATTCCATTCTTTTTTTCCTTTTTGACTCATCCACGCAACTTAAAAGCAGATTATTTTAAAATCATAGGGTATAATTATTCTCTTCTTTAATATTCATTTTACATCCAGGGAAATAAATACAAAATGGGACAAATTTTAACATTTATTTTCCTAAAGGGCATAATGTCAGAGTAATCTGGTATCTTTCTTCGATGAGTGTTTTTTCTTGACAAGGAAAATAAATAACATCTATCTGGCTAAACCTCAGGAGAACTGATACATTTTCAGTGCTTTCAGTAGTAAACTGGACAACAACTAAATTAAATTTGGTGGTGTGACATTGAGAAATCTCAAAAATATATAGCAATAGCAGCATATAGACAGTATTTGATAAGATCGGGGAGGAAATTTGATAGTTTTGAAAGCAAGACATATCATTACAGGCTAGTAACGAGAATATATATTACAGGCAACTATCAATTAATCTGAAAGCAGGATTTTTGGCATATAGCTTCCTCACAGAATGAATAAGAACTTCTAATGTGATGCAGCCATAAAAAATACCAACACATGTCTCTAGTATTCTGTATTGGAGAGTTCCTGCAAAGGTGGAGGGAGCAGTTGTAGTTCCATTCTGGCACTGTTAAGAGCTCATTTGAAATAAAATGCATTATTCTAGTTGAGAAAAAATGGAAATGTAGCTGAGGTAGATATGAATCTGTGGAGAGCTCTGCAATGGAGAGAAACAGCTTTACCAGAGAGGCTGAAAAAAAAATACAAAAAAATGCTTAACCAAGAAAAAAAAACACTGAGAGAAAAAGAGACAAGATGACTCTTTAAACTAGAAGAAAATACTCATACAGAAGAAAAAGGTAAAAACTGACCCTTATAAAATGTTGCTGGAATTTGTATTTTTTAACACTACCATACAGGAATTTTTGACTTGCACTTTCAACAAAAAATAAGCAGGCATTAAGGTTTATAAGTTTGTGGAATGGGTATATGATGCAGTTGCTTTACGTGACAAGTAGCTCAGCTTTACTAACCCACTGCATATTACCATGATTTAAAGCATCCAACAGGAATATTTAATTTAAAAACAATCATTTTGCATTTGTTGGTTTTAGTCATTTTGTTGTTTCTCACTGCTCGGTGCACTCCTCTTTGCTAACCACAGAGTATCTGCAGATTTGTATATGTGTTATGTGGCTTAATGAAGAGTTATTCAGATTTGTAATTTTTCCTTTTTGGTATTGCTAGAAAATGGTGGAAGATAAGTTAGTTATTTACAAGATAATCATTTACATATGGCTTTTGTCAAGCCACATTTGGAAATAAATTAGCATGACCTAAAAAATTCAAGCCCAACAGTTTAACATTGTTTTGTTAGTTAAATTACACCAAGTGACATTATGTTGGAAACACAGAGCAATTTGTCAAAACATGCTTTGCATTTAGTATGAACTAAATTATTAAGTAAAAGAACTTTATGCAGTTACTGTACTAAACTGATTGTTTCTGATTACAGCTTTTTAAAAGTAGTAGAACTCATCTTCAGACATCTTACTAGTAATCATTGATTTCTTTCATGTTACAAATTTTGTTATCTTTCAAATTTCTAATACCTCTTAACTTTGAATGGATGACTTATTGACATAAGTTGAATAAATCGTAATGAATAAATAATAATCATAAATATCAAAAATTTTGCCTGCTAAACCTCTGGTGCAGAATGTTTCATCCATGTGCTTTATAATTCAATTGTTTGATACCTAACTTCAGCAAGTGTACTACTTCATCAAAAGAGGTTTGTCCAGCAGGTCAAAAGAGGTGATCCTTCCTCTCTACAGTTATGAGACTCTTACGAGGTTCTTCTTGGAGTACTGTGTACGGTTCTGATGTCTTCAACATAAGAAGAACATGGAGCTGTTGCAGCGAGTCCAGAGGAGGGCCATGAGGATCATCAGGGGACTGGAGCACCTCCTGTATGAAGACAGGCTGAGGAAGTTGGGGCTGTTCAGCCTGGAGAAGAGAAGGCTGCGTGGAGACCTCATAGCAGCCTTCCTGTATCTGAAGGGGGGCTACAAAGATACCGGAGAAGGACATTTCATCAGGGACTGTAGTGATCGGGTGAGGGATAATGGGTTAGAACTTAAACAGGAGAGATTTAGATTGGATATAAGGAGGAAGTTCTTTACTGTAAGGGTGGTGAGGTGCTGGAATGGGCTGCCCAGGGAAGTTGTGAATGCTCCATCCCTGGCCGTGTTCAAGGCCAGGCTGGACAGGGCCTTGGGCAGCATGTCTAGTGTGAGGCATCCCTACCCATGGCAGGGGGTTTGGAACTAGATGATCTTAAGGTACTTTCCAACCATAACCTTTCTATGATTCCATGATTTAACATCATGATTATAGTGTCAGTCTTAATAATTGATTATTTTTTAATTAAAACAACTCTAAAGCTACAGATTTGTATTTTTTTGCCATTTATATACTAAAGAGAGACCGGGTAGATGGTTTAATAATGGGGAGTGCTGTAGTATTGTCTGGAATAATTGCTTGATCAACTTCCATGATTCAAAACTGTCATGGCTTAACATTAGGCAGCTAAGCTGTATATAGTGCTCAATCCCCCGCCCAGTGGGACAGGGAGAGAACTGGAAAGGTAAATGTGACGAAACTCGTGGTTTGAGAGAAAAACAGTTTAATAATTTAAATTTTTTAAAAGTTAATAAAAAGGAAGGAAGAAAGAAATCAATAAAGGGGAAAAGAAACCCAAGGAAAACAAGTGCTAGATTAAAAATAAACAAAACAAACAAACAAATTACCCAAGGGAAAAAAGAAAAACGACAAAAACAAAACAAAACAAACAAAACAAAACCACCAAAAAAAAATCCCACAAAAAAACCCCACAGTTGCTCACGACTAACCAATCAACCAGTGTCCAGCTGGTCCGCAGGTGATGGCATACCTAGCCACACACTCTCCAACCCAGTTCTGTTGTTGAGCATGGCACCGTATTGTGTGGGATAACTCTTAGGTCATCTGGGGTCAGCTGTCCCAGCTGTCCCCTCCCAACTGCTTGTGCACCCCTAGCCTGCTCACAGGTCATGTGGTGTGTGAGGTGCAGAAAAGGCCTTGGCTTTGTGTAAGCACTCCTCAGCAATAGTTAAAATGTCCCTGTATTATCAACGCTGTTTCCAGGACAAATCCAAAACACAGCTCCACACTAGCTACTATGAACAAATTTAACTCTACTCCAGTCAAAACCAGTTCAAAACCCCGTGTTTTATTTAGACTTTTCTACATCCTACTACAATCAAAGTAATATCTGTTTATATATCTAAGAGTTAAAAGCTCCATCAGTAAATACTGAGGAGGCATAATATTATAAAGGGATAGTGGCATGTAGGGTTGAAAGAAATTCAACATTGATTTTAGTGGAAGCAGATTTAGCACAAGAATGAACTGTTTAGATTTAGGCCAATCTTAAATGTAACTGTGCATTTATCTTATTTCCCACTCTACTGGCACAAATAAAATATTACTGCAATAAGCAAGGAAAATAATGATGCCTTGGTTGTTGTATGATGAACTGTAAATGTTCTTGTGTACTACAATATCTACTGATTCTGCAGTATTCACTAAGCTCTGATTTTTATTATCCATGATGTTTTCAGGGACCTGAGCTTTTTTTCAAGTAGTAGATTGTTTCCAGTGTTGGCAAGACTTCCAGGATGTAAAGTGAAAGTATTTTATGTGGAGAAGTCAGAGAGCAAACTTGAGATTTAGCTATAGCTGACACATCTCTACTAAAATTGCTGTCACCACTGCATTTGCCAGCTCTGGTCATGGCTCACAGGGAGAAAAACTATAAACTTCAGCCATTTTGTGCACCTATTTTCGGACACTGCATTTCATAATTGCATTTCACAATTCTTTTCAGCAAAGCCAGCCAAATGTTTCATTGCGATCTCTTCTTTATTAATGAAGTGTCTCAGTACAGACAAATTTTTTGATGATGCACTTGTGATGTATTTGCAGTTAGTCTGTGAGCATGCTGTGTGAATACACTTCAGCCTTGTGCAGAACTGCGCATTGCAATATAGTCCATCAATTTCAGTTTTCAGTATTTATTTTCTTTTACAGGAACTTGATGATGTTTCTGTTTACTTTAATATATATATACTAAAAAATCATTCGTTTGGACAACTGGCAGAAATTTCTGTGGTGTGGAGCGAGTTGCAAACACCTGCATTAATGAGCTTAATGTTAATCAACTAGATTATTACTAGTATATATTATTTATTATCTTTAGGGATATATCAATGTAAATATATTTATCATCTGATGTCACCAAAACTAAATCATATTTTTGACAGATGTTTTCTAAAAGTTGGCTAAACACAGCTGAGCTGAAAAGTGAAGAGCTCGGAATACTTTCTGAAATAATCTGTCTCTGGTTTTAGCTGTTATTTCTTTTGTTTGACCTGCCTCCAGATGGGAAGTAGCTTAGACAAGATCTATCCATTAGACAACATTGACATCTGTCTTGTGGGTAGAAATATGAGAAGGGAAGATGAATGGTGTCTCATGCCTGTGCTGAAATGCATCAAATTTTAAGAGAAGCAAATTCACCCTGTGCCCTTGGATTACAAGAACTGTTGACAAGAGGTCACCGTAATTTTGCTCGCATGTAGAATCCTGTAACTTTTCTTTTTCTACAGCATTCTCTGGATCAGAAATATTAATAACTAGTTTGCTTTATACATGTTCAGTATAATTTGAGTGTATGAACAATTTGATATCTATGCAGCAATTTGACTTCTGATAGGAAATATACCAGGGATTTCACATCCAGTTACAGGTAGTTCAGAGTTTGGAAGTACATTTCTAAATTATATATGAAATGTTCTCTCTATATAAGAAGTCTTCATAAATAGTATTTCAGTAACTAACATTCATACGGTTGGATCTGTTTTTTTTGCATCAGAGACAGAGTGAGGTATACATGTGTATACAGTGATACATATGTTTAATACCTGTGCAAAAAAATACATGTGAAATAAACCTTTTCCTACGTGCGGTAGGAACAAGATGAATGTAGATACTGGCAAGTGTGTAGATAAAGATGTGACCTCTATCAGTTCAGTTTTGTAGCTGAACTTAAAAGTAATTTGTTTTTTCTGATGTCTTTTAAGTAAAGGAGCATGTTGAATTGTTCACAGCAACTCAGTCCTTACAACCAGATGCCAGTTTCTAAGTACTATCTGAAGACACAAGAAGACTGGAAAAAAGTGGAAACAATACTGGTCAACTGGACAAATGGTCCATAAAAAGATAACGTCAAATGCCAGACAGTAGCTAAGCACTGAGAAACAGAATGAGTCAAAAACAAAGGGTGAGGTTTATCCTGGAGAAGAGACAAATTATTTCTTCACTATGGTATTGCAGAGCTGTTAAAGCTAGCTTTAAACTAGCTAGCAGCAATCAAGCTACTAATCTGAATCACTGTAGAGCCAACACATTGCTTGCGGAGCACCTAAACTCTGTGGTGCCAATACTGTCATGCTGAACACAGTGAAAGTACAAAATAAGTGACAGTTCCTCTGAAAAAAGTGATGTCATTAAACATGTTATTTGCTTGGGTTTTATATTTTATCAGATACAGTGTGAAGCCTCTAAAGGCATTCCATTCAAATCAAATGGTTTAAATAAATCAGCACAGGTTCCTAGCCTGTGAGGGAGCCTGTGACAGAGGCAGGG